ATATATCCCTTGCTGAGACCTCTATGCCTGGCCTGTATAAGCAGATATACTCACTGCGGACAATCCTCGTCAGATAGCTGAACTCGTCAATACCGATTCATTCAAAAGAGGTGTTTATTCTTTAACATCAGGGTTACAGCAGATGATAGGAACAGCAGATGAACGGTTATAGTATTGTGCGGTCAGAAAATGATGCCTTTCCTACGTACTGTGCAGATTATATATGTGTCCTGTTACATGTGGCTTGCTAGCTTTGGCCATGACACAGGAAGTACTGCACACAGGAAGAAGGAAGGGGCGTACACTAGGGGAAAATACATCGTCACATGAGGAATAATTACAGAAAAACATGTACATTACAACAAAAGGCCACTAGATGGCAGCATATAACTAACTATACAAACGTCCATAGGAAAATGATATGGACAAAACAATCTATATAAATTCTCATCTATATAAACTTTTATGACATATTCTATGCCCCATTGGGGCGGCACATCTGTTATTAAGGTAGCGTTGCCATAGGCTGCTGTTTCAGCAGAGGTTTCCTGGAGGTATTAGATGCGGACTGCCTTTTTGTGTCTTTATCTGCATGTTGCAAGGAGGTTTCAGATGCATCACCATTGAACGTGTTTTCTATTTCATGTTTACAACAGCTTGGTATCTTTGCAAAGTCCATCATATTCTTATTGCTCCCAAAGCGCCATTGGACATACTGATTTCGAGCGCACTCTGCTAGCTGTTTTTTGCCTATGGAATGCCTGTTTATCAGAGGATTGTTGTATTGCAGGATGTGCACCAGAGCCAGTCTCTGCAGGACCAGCTTCCTAAACATTTCCGAGTTTGTAATGCATTCCCCATTTTGATATCGGCAGCAGAGCTGATCTTCAAATGCATTTTCTGGAAGACATTTCAAACAACGACACCAGGAAGGAATTGCTGAGGATTTTTTAGCACTTCTTGGGTATAGAGGAAGTTCTTCCAGTCCATCAATTGCAGACAGTTCAAGCTGAGCAAGGACTATGTTATCAGTCTTTTTTCCTCTCTGAAATAGAAAGCATTGAAAAACATAGGTTAGCCACGGGACCACATATACTGTTTATATGTATGTATGTATGTATGTATGTATGTATGTATGTATGTGTGGTTTGCATTACAAATAATGTTCTTTTAGCATCTAAGGCCAAATACAAATTAAAAACAAAAAGTGTTTTTCACCAAATGCCCCTGACCTTTAGCCTGTCCTTAATCCATAAACTGAACCTGTCACAAACCTGGACAATTCAAACTGAGCCATTGGTGAAAAATTAGGAACCGCACCTCATAAATATCTTTATTATTGGGGAGCACTGAGCAGTGATACATTTCCTGAAGGGCAGTATAAAATTAAGGATACCTAGATTACAAAATGATATTATAGGCTACAAGAAATGGTGCTAGAATGAAAAATCAATTCCACCCACCTTTTACAGGGAAAGTTACCATTGTCATAAACATTTTATGGATCTACTGATCTTTTTGAATTTTTTTTTTTTTTTACTGAAAGCAACCTCTAACTATGCATTTTTCTAACATACAGCATGCTCAGTTTGAGTTGTCCAAGTTTAATTTAATATGATGGTAATATTTAACCCCTATACTCACCTCAAACTTATTATAAACCCTAACCTGTACCTCAACAGCTAAGCTTAACCTGTAAAGCAGAACTCCGAGTTTCCAGCCCTCTCCCCCTTAAAAAGAAAAAAATATGTATACTTTTTCCAAAAGGCTCTTGGCAAGTCTATTAATACGTATTATGGGTCCTTTTTTTTCTTCTTCAATGGTGAAAGTGGGCTGTCCTTAATATGCACTTAATGGTGCTCATGAAATGACGTGTAAGCACTGTTTATTGCAGTTTTCTCTCTGAGCTCAGGCTGTGTGATGACACTGGCCCAGGAGGGGGGTACATGACAGTCTGGGCTTAGAGGAAGGGGGCTGAATAATGCTGGCTGCTATTCAATTCGGAAGGCTGGCGACATCTAGTGGCTGAAAATATTACTGCCAGGAACAGCTTCAGATTGAAGGTGAACAAAAGCTGCTTTTTAATTTTTACTTTTACTGGGCTATGTATTTTTTTTTTTAGCTGGAATTGTGATTTATTTTTAAAACTTAAGATTAACCCTTAACCTAACCTCAGTCAATAAGCTAATTATAGTATGCAGTATTTCCAATTAATTGTTATAGCTTCAATCTACCTGTTAATTCTGCCAGGATGCCAGGAGATGGCAGGCTAATTGTAAGAGTCCAGGGCTTACTGCGCATGCGCCAAAGACGCGTCAGTGCGCCAACCCGCGCATGCTCAGAAGACCTGATGGAAAAAGGCAGTAAAATGCCCAGGAGGCGCAAAGGAAGTGACCTCACCCCTGATGGAAAAAGGCAGGAAAATGCCCAGGAGGCGCACAGGAAGTGACCTCAACCTGATGGAAAAAGGCGGGAAAATGCCCAGGAGGCACACAGGAAGTGACCTCAAACTTCAATCATCACTGCCCTATATAAGCCCAGCCCAGACACTGCCAAATTGCTGGATTATCTTCAGTCCCCCCTTGTTCCTGTGCTATTGTGTGATCTGTCTGAACTTGTTGTGACCTGGAAACCTATTTGACTACTCTTGATTGCTGCCTGCCATTGACCTCGGATTTGTACCTTGACCATTCTACTTCTGCCCCTTTTGTACTCAGCTGCCAGATTGTAACCGACCCCAGCTTGGATCTCGACCATTCTTCTGATTAACCATTGTGTACTTTGTTGTCAGAGTGGACTTGACCTCGGCTCGGATCTCGGACTAAGGCTTGCACGGTGCTCCGCACCCCTGGCACCCATGCCACTCGGTGTCCACCAAGTCTCTGTCTCCATCTCCAGAGACTTCAAGGACCCGAGGTGCAAGGGAGGCCTCCCCACTACTTCGGTCTCACCTCAGGTACGTGGCTCCCGTGACACTAATCCTTGAAGCTCCATGGGAAGTTTCAACTTTGATCCAGTATCAGTGTCATTGAGCTGGCGTTTGATGCACTGACATACAATGACATTATTCGTCTATCTTTTATTGCTGTTCCTATTTCAAAGCATTCTCCTCACTTTTTTCCAGGTGACGGGTGTCAGCCGGAACAGGAAATGAGGAGAAATCGCCCCAATAGTACACAGACTGTAATAAACATATCACAGCGCTTCGAAGCAATTCCCAGTCTATAAAATATATTTTGCTAGATTTTGAAATCCTCTCTTCGCGGCCAGCGAAGAGAGGACGGAGCCAGCATGCAGAGAGGTAGGTGCGGGGGAGACTTCGGGAGACTTCAAACATGTGCCTCCCTGCTGCCCCGAGGCCATGCCTTCGGTGGCCTTGTCGGAAATCCGGCCCTGCAGAGAGTGATTCCAGCATGGAGTGTGAAGTTAGGTTACTGTGTGGTTTGGCACAAAGACCTTTGGCATAGTATTGCAAACCAAGGTAATGGGACTATAGGAGCATATACTGTAGTTTATGGTGAGATGGGACTAAAGAAATCAAAAAACCCCGACCAAATCAGTGCGTAGCACAGTAAAGCCTTCTTAAAATAGAAGATAATCACATGTCTCATTATATAACATATCCCAAAAATAAGATAATTATTTCTCAATTCAGGACACTGGGCAGAGCCATGCAGTTCATTGCTTTACGCTTTATTGGCCAATTGCACATCCAGAATTGCTGTTGTATAGTGCAAATATAGCCCAATATTATAGAGCCATTTATTCCAAGCTGCATACAGCTATTTCAGGTTATTTGGCCATCATCACTGCAGTGTATGGAAGCCATGGCTTCTATAGAGTAGGGCCTTGGACCCAATGGAACAGTAAAACCATACAGGTTATGGTGAGAAGGGACTAAAACAATCAAAAATACCTCCAACCGAATCAGTGCGTAGCACAGAAAAGCCTTCTTCTGGATGTGCATCTGGCCAATGGAGCATAAAACAATGATTTGTATGGCTCTGACCACTGTCCAGAAATGAGAAAACGATCCTATTTGTGGGATATGGAATGGAATGAGACATGTAAATACCTTCTGTTTTAAGAAGGCTTTACTGTGCTAAACCAAGGAAATACAGATAATATTTCACAATACAATTATGTGGTTGTTTTATGGACATGCAGGGCCGGTCCTGCCACTAGGCAAACTAGGCAGCCACCTAGGGCGCAGCTTCAACCTCTCACCCACGGCTCCCCCCATCTATTTAAATTGCAAAATCCGATAGCAGGCTGGCTATTGCACCCGACTACTGAGCAGAGAAGCGGAACTGAGAGACAACTTTCTTTCTCAGGTCTGCTCCTTTGCTCACTGGGTGGGGTTTCAATAGCCAGCCTGCTATTGGCTTTTTAAAAATTAAAATAGCCAATAGCAGTCTGGCTATTGCTCCCGGCTGCTTACATCCACATGTCACCTGCGGAAGCTAGCCGTCAGGAGAAATGGGCCATGCGGTGATGGGATTTTGCCGTGGGAGGGGTGCTGATGGGTACAAGTAGCTGGTCTTTATATGAAGATTTTTCGGCGCTGAATGCCCTTATGTGCTATAACATTTATTGTGCCATGAAACAATAAGTGAGACCCTATAATCTATCACAATAAAAAAAAAAACACTTAACACTTTCCACTACCAATCACTTTGGTTGTATAAATTTCACACTTTTTGGTCACTAATATAAGATTGTATTGTTTCATGGCACAATAAATGTTATAGCACATAAGGGGATTCAGCGTCGCAAAATCTTCATATACATTTCTAAGGCTTTTCAGTCTGTTATTGTGGCAGCTTTATTTCCCATATTACTAACATCTTATCCACAAGCGCAGATTAACAGTTCCAAGTAGCTGGTCTTGCCTAGGGTGCAAAATAGTCTAGCACCAGCCTTGTGGACATGTGATCTTCGGCCCTCCAGTAAAGAACTGTTCCTTGTGAAGAAACCAGGAGATGGCTGGCTAATCCTTGCAGCTCCATGGGAAGTTTAGACTTTGAACAAATGTCAGTTATGGTGCCTATAAGTGTAATACCAAATACTTGATCATATACAGTATAAAAAGGAAGGTTATGGTATCATCCTATTTTTACTTTGTTGAAGAAACTCAGCCCTTATTCTTTGTTTTTTCTAAATGACACCACCGATTTGAATAACAAATATTAAAGCAAGTCATCATCGCGTAATAAACATAGTTTGTTTTTGTCATGAAAACGAAATATGGAACCTTTTTACATAGAGAGCATGAGCTGAACACCTGCAGTGTTTAAGATTTCATTAAATGAAATGTCTGTGTCACCATTTATTTTACTAAATGATTTAGGGTTGTAAATTGACAATAAAAAGGATATGACACCATTTACTTTGTACATACTATGACTGGTCAGCAGTACCAGACATGCTACAACAAGTTGGGTCCATTTCACTTACCTTAACCTTTTTACCTTTAGTCACTTGTAAGCTTTTCTTTATTTTTTTATCCACCATTATTATGTCCTCTTGATCCACAAAGGACACAAACTTGAGTTCCTGGCATGACAAAAAAAAACAGAGGAAAAAACAAAAATTATTATAAAATTGTTTTGTTAAATATTTTTTTGAATTATTTTTCCAATATATACCCAGTATAAACATACTGACATTATTGACATTATTGTTAAGAGACCACCATATAATATTCCGCTAGTATTAAAACCATTCTTCCCTTTTAGGGTCTCAGCTAAAGCAAAGCAAAAAAAAAAAGAAAGAAGCATAAGAGGAAAAAAAAAGCAACCTAAAACCATCCCAACCCTTATGGCCATGCCTCTTATTCTCTATACGCACATAGCAGCACTATCAAATTTTATCCATGATTCCATGTCACCAGAAATTGTGGGTACCTATCCTGTGATTGAGCTACTAACTCTTCTACCCTTCTCAATAAATAATTATAAAATTACAAGATTTGCATTACATTATGCTTTATGAACAATGACAAAAGAACAGCTCAGGAGATGGTCAAAAGAACACAAAAAAATCCTGACAGGATACATAACAAGAACACAACTAACTATTCAATAGATCTATAATATACCCTAAAGTTACATGGTAATCTGTGTTTATTATGATATATTCAATTATATATTGTTGAACTATATATCCCTTTCTGTTTGTTACAGGAATTATGTCACTAGGATATTTCCAGATGCAAGTAAAATACATCAAGGAGTATAAATCTGAATAAGATTCAATATACAGAAAACAAAGTGGGTTACATTTTATATTTTACATTTCTGTTTTGGCCTAGATGCAAAGTCATATGATTCGCTTTAGGTTTGAGTGCAAAACGAAGTGTTGAAAAAAAGTTAGGTTCTGAAGTATTTATTTTATTGAAACTGTATATTCAGTTGCCAGGATCCTGGAGATGGTATTTTTCAGCACTAGAAGGGTTGGTCGTCTAAAGCATTCAAATAAAGGGTTAAATTTACATTAAGGAGGTTAGTGTTAGGGTTCAGCTGGCCATACACTAGTGTGGATGGGGGAAATCTGTCAGATTCCCACAAAATTGACTAAACACAACATCGTGGATAGGAGAGTCCCACAGCCTGCTGCAGTCAAACTTTGGCCAACAATTTTCCACCTGGCTCCTTCAATTTTCAGATCAAAAGATGCGTGGTGAGATGGGGGGAAGGCTGCCAACAGGGCTACCCACGGAATTAATTTTGGCCAGCTTATCAAGAACCATCTAAAGCTGTGTATTTCTGTGTGTATGGTCGGATTTATAGGGAGCTGTAATGTGAAGGTTAGTGTACGAGTTTAGGCAAGTGTAAGGGTTGGTGTTAGGGTTACAAGGAGGTATAGTGTGAGTGTTAATGCTGGGGGAAAGGTTAATGTTAGGACTACAGAGAGGGTTAGTGTAAGGCTAGTGTTAGGGTTGGGGTTATGGGGGGGTTTGTGTGAGGGTCAGCGTAAGGGTTATGGGGAGGGCTAGAGTTAGGAGAGTTAGGGTTACTGTGAAGGTTAGTGTTAAAGTTACAGAGAAAGTTGGTTTGAGATTTAGTATTTGGGTTACAGCGTGGGTTACTGTTAGTTTTACAGGGACAGTTAGTACAATTGTTAGTGTTAGAGTTACAGGGAGTGTGTGAGGGACAGAGGAAAGGTTTATGTTAGAATTACATAGATTACAAGTAGGTTCTCATGGACACCCCTGTAGCCCTATATCAGCCCTTTGATCTCTGGATAAATGGTCCCTAGTTTCCTAGTTTCCCACCCCTTTGTTCTTTAAACTGAATTTATCCACAACTGATTTTACTTTACTGACATGAGACTGAGAATGATACAGCTCATTTAGACAGTCTTTCAATTCATTGGATGCTTTTGTTACTCTAAATGTCATTTACTGTGCATATTGTGAAATTGTAGAACGTTAACTGTAAAGGTGGAATTTGTTAAATAAACTATTTGGAAAAATAAGAATTACAGAGATTAGGGTTAGTGTGAGAGAGCCTTCTGCACTGAAAACTACTAGCACTGCATTCCCACTGCAGCATTGCACTTCCAGTGCTGAAAGCTACTTAAAGGAGAACTATGGGGTAAGTGTTTTTCCCCATGGTTCTCCTCAGGGTGACGGGAGGACATAAACTAGTGCCCTCCCGTGACCCAAAGCTCAGTATACCGTGAGCTACAGCTCGCGGTATACTGCGACCACCGCAGCCGGGACGGATACCGACATTACTGTCGAGATCCACCCAGCTGCATGATTGACAGCTGGCTCTGCCTGTGTAGAGGCAGAGCCAGCTGTACCCGTCCCCTCCCCCGTTCGTTGCTCCAGTCAGCGCTGGATGATCGGACAGGGGAGGGGGGGCAATCCCTGCAGGGAGCCGTGAGTGACAGTCACGGCTCTCTGCAGGGACAGGATCGAGAAGTGAGCGAGCGACAGTATGTGTTCACTCACTTCCCGATCTATTGAGCTGACCTGTGACAGTTTCATTGTCATACGGCGGCTCGAACTATGAGGATGAGTGATTTTCACTCACCTCATAGTTCTACTTTAACCAATTATGTACATTAGTAATGGATATACAGCCTATTGGCATCGATAAAATAAACCTAAAATTATATTTTTATTCTTGTTTGGTTTAAATAAATGAAAATCATAGTGAGGGGCTTGCCTCAGGAGGCATCTCATTGGGGGGAAGCCACAGTGTCCCAGGTTGCTAAGATTTCTTAGCAATCTGTAACACTTGATGCGGCTTCCCGCCCAGCTCACTTATGTCACTGGTAGCCACATGCTGAGTGGCACGCGCTAACTTTGTATCCCCAGGAGCTTCTGGCAACCAGTGACATCAGGGAGCTGGGTGGAATGTTGAACAGAGCCTCTGACAGCTTGGTCTGCCCCCCTCCCAAAGCGACATACCAGGAGAAGCACCTGCAACCTCAGCCTCACCCATACCAACTGACAAATCAGGGACAGCAAACCCCCACCCCCAACGAAAGCCTCAGACAGCACATACTATAGGGACAGCCCTGATCATAGCAGTACATGAAAATAACATTCTAGCATGTCTGAGACAAATACAAAATCATGTTACCGTTAGAATACAGGGCCCGGGGATCTCCTCATACTTCTCCTTATCAAAGTATCTCTGACCCGATGTAGTGCTGCAGCACCTTTTGCAGTACAGGCTGATAATAAAATCAATCACTACTTTTGCCTAAATGAATGATCAATAGATTAATAAATGAACACTGTTATCAATACTCCTTTTTTTTTTAAATAAAACATTAACATATAAAAACAGCACAATACAGTCTGGAGAAATCATAAAATAAACATATAGGGATTACCAAGATGGAGTAGAAATTATGAACCAAAGTGAATGCCAACAACAACTTATAACAAATGATTAAAGTAGAACCAAAGCCAAAACCTTTTGATTTTTACAGAAAGGGAAAGGGCTAGAACCTCTGTCAAGCTGTTATTGTTGTCTGTGTTTTATGGAGTTTTCCTTCACGTTTTGTTGTGTCCCAGATACAGGAGCTGAGAACAACCTATTTGACACTTTTATCAGTGCAGTGGAGAAGGGTTTGAACCTCTGCCCGTTTTTTGTTTCCACATGTGCTCTGATGAAGAGATATTTTTACCTCTTGTTGTGTCACCATACAGGAAGTGGTGGGAAATTTCCTAATAATGGAAAGATAAAGCACTAAAACCTAACAGAAACTCTGAACAATACCTATTCGAAGAGTGCAGTTCCTTTTTAATGTAGAACAGCAGCCAAAACCTTTTTATTTTTATTTTTGGGTAAAGTAAGTGAGACTTATAACCCCTGTTAGCTTTTTTTGCCAACTGTGTTCCATTGGGGAGATTTCCCTCCATTTCCTGCCCAATAGGCACAACAGGAAGTGAGAAGAAATCCCTCCAAATTGGGGGAAATTCCTGGTGGTCAGCAGGGGTCACCAGAACTAGTGTCCCTATTTGGAAGATTTCTCATCTATTCCTATTCTAGTAACTACCCAAAATTTGGGATTTTCATTCATTTTCAGTGATAAAGGTCATCAGGACAAAAAAACCTGACAGGTGTTCTCATCCCTCTCCACTCTATCCACAACTAAAAAAGGTTTTGGTTGAGTCTGCTATTATACTACTACAAACAGATGTTTCAGTTGAAATACAACTCACCAATCCAAAGTAAGAAAGATAGGAACCGATGAACATCACCAATTCCAACCAACTAAACTGGCCTCCCTAGAATGGGATGATTTGAACAGCAGTAAATAAGAGAACACATACTACATGACATTTTACTATAACATACACAATACTGTATATAGCAATGTATAGTATATGATATTGTTCCTGATTCAATGTATAAAAAAACTGCATCTTTCTAACAGAAGACTACAAAACATGACACTGAAATGATGTGTAATACATTTTATAAGACATATTTATTACAGGTACCAACTCTGTTCTGCAATACCTGTGCAGAATGTTTAAGCTGACCAATGCTTAAGATGACCAAAGCCTCATGCACATAGGCGCCTGGGGCCAAACAATGTAAAAATCGTTTGCTGCATGCAGGCGCCCATAAAAAAATCAATGGCTGTACGTGCTCATATACGCCACTGTTGCGTAAACACATATATGCGCATGGACGTAAAACCCCCAGACAGTCTGCATTTGGGGTTGTACGTCTGCACAGATGTGCATGTGAATGAAAGTATCTGCATAGAGTTGTATGCAGCACCTACAGTAGGGTTCCCACGTGGGAAAATATACCTCATATCTACACCGTACAGCTCCAGGTGCCTGTGTGCATGAGGCTTGCTGCTCACTGTTATGTATTCTTTAAAAATGACTAAATGTATTTTTAGTACAACCAGCATCAGTACCTGAATTGGACTTGGTATAATCCTCCTGTAATCCCTGTAGCGGGTCACTAAGCCCTGCGTCCAGCGGGTCACTAAGCTCTGCGTCCAGCGGGCCACTAAGCCCTGCGCCCAGTGGGCCACTAAGCCCTGCGTCCAGCGGGCCACTAAGCCCAGAGTCCAGCGGGCCACTGAGTCAGACTGATGTGACTGGCTCAGTGTCCTCTGTACAGCACTGTTGTATACGTCAGAGCTATATAAATGTATAATAATAGTGTGTGACCGTGGAGGGACATTAGAGTGTAAGCTCCTCTGTACAGAGACTGATGTGACTAGCTCAGTGTTCTCTGTACAGCACTGTGGTATATGTCAGAGCTATATAAATGTATAGTAATAACAGTGTGACTTGCTCTGTGTGGCAGCAGTGGAAGGGGCCCCAACATTTCTGATGGCTGCCCTGGTTCTTTCATATGGTTGTCTGGGTCAACCCCCTTTCCCCCAGTCTAATGAAATGACAAATACAAAAAACATTCTGCTGACAGTAAAATGAACTTTGAAGCGTAGATCATAGCACGCATCGGCTTCATTAGGTTAGTGATAGACTCGTGCAAACAAATTTGAAATATTTTACATAAACAAAAATTAAAAATTTCTAAAGACTTTTAGAATTAAATTAAATTATTAGAAATGAAAGCATTACTGTGCCATAGACTTGAATGTCAAATCGTATTCCATATGCCTTTATAAGAGTCCTCAGGTCGCTTTGGTTCGGCATCTTGTAGTGCTTGGCAAATCTGTAGATACAAAAGAATTAGGGCTGGTAATGATTAAAATTTTCGTGTTCGATCAATCGAAATTTTTTTTAATCGATTAATTTTGATTAATTATAACGCACATACAGATCCCACTACATTGGCCTATACACATACAGCACAGCAATGAAGTAATAAAATGAACTAGGATCACACTAATCCAGCACGTTATTAATCTCACGTACCCCACTCAATATGGCCGCCGCTTGAGTGGGGCAACTCAGAACAATAACGTGCTGGATTAGTGTGATCCTAGTTAATTTTATTACTTTATTGCTGTGCTGCATGTGTATAGCCCAATGCCTTTGCTGGCGCTCGTGCAGAAAAGTACTCACCGGCCCAAGTGGCTCCGTCACGGACATCGACGTCACCGGACTCCTCCCCCCTTCCCTTCGTTAGCTGTCACGGACATCGACGTCACCGGACTCCTCCCCCTTCCCTTCGTTAGCCAACGGAGCCACTTGGGGAAGGGGGAGGAGTTCGGTGACGTCGATGTCCGTGACGTCACTGAATCTCCGACGGGACTCCCGGAAGCCGGCGCAGAGGTGAGTGTTTTCATTTTTGATCAAAATTATTTTAATCGATCAAAAAGTTTAACGATTAATCAAGAAATTAATTGTTAATTTCCGCAGCCCTAAAAAGAATAGTTCTATTTTTAAACCAATGGTAAGAGAACTCTGACTATGGGCCAGTATCAGCCTTCGCTATCGGGACATTTTCACAAGTACAAGTACTTGTGAAACAGATTGTAGCTCATCGATGTTAATGAGCAAACACGCATAAAACGTTAAAACGTGCAAAAACACAGCAAACGCGCATTTTCAAGCGTTTCCTATTTAGTCTGTGGGGCCAACATTAGCTGTAATATGCCCAAAAAAAGCTCCTGTACTTTTTCCAGCGACAGGCCTTATGCTTATTGCGACAAAAGATTCAGATTTGAAAAGGGCCATAGAAATGAATGGGATTTTTTTTTGGGGGGGGGTGTATTTTTTAATTCTTTATTTATCAAATTCAGGGGAAAGGGAACCAGAGGGAAGATTTAGAAGAATAGGCAAGAAATAGGAGTAGGACCGCAAAGAAAAAGGAAACCCTTGTCTAGGAACAGGAGACATCTTCCCTGTTACACCCCTTCAAAACAGTGCCCTGTAATCAGAAGAGTCAGCAAACACGTCCCAGTGGAGAGGGGGGGGGGGTTGTTGTATTTTTTGAGTGTTTTTTTAGGGCAGAAAAATCCCTACAAAATGCTCAGTGTGAAGCAGGCCTCAAGGAAGAAGAGGGTGACAAGGACGTCTAACATCTCTTGACTGAACCTAAGACACCTGAAACAGGGATGTATAAATGTATATATTTTTTTTATTTATGGGTTCTCCAATGAGGGAAGGGGCAGACAGGGAAAGTGGGGGCAGAATCTTGAGCACAAAGTTTGGCATTAATGCTATCTTTGTCTCCATTCAGCAGGAAGTGAGAGGAGCTCTCCCCAAAGTTGGAGCAAATGCCAGCATTGATGGCTTGCACTGGAACAACTGTCCCCAGGAGGAAAGCTTCCCCTTACCCCTCAATAATAACTGCAAAGTTCTGGGTTTCCTCTTTGAGTGTGTAAGAAGCCTACCTCGTTACGTCCCGGGATCACGATTCGGGACCGCGCATGCGCACAACGGGCTGTAGCGTCTCCTCGCGGCGCACGTAGACCCTCGGCTCCTCCTCCTATTAGCGCAGGCGCACGAGGCTCCTTAAGACGGGGCCAAACGAATCTTCAGCGTCCGACTGTTTGCAACAGTGAACGCCGAAGATTCACACTCTGCAACCGCAGACCGCAGCAACCAGGGACCAGCACCTCGCAAACCCCACTTAGAGGGTAGCTCCAAGGCACATCAAAGGGAAAGTCTGAGATTGCCGGCCAGGACGGCTAGAGAGAGGACTACTGATGCTCACCACCATCAGCCATAGGAGATACCAGGAGTGTTCTTCCAACCGCAAGTATCCGTACTATCCGTACTTAAGCCGGGACTGTTAAATCTGTATTGTGTGACCAGGGGAATAACAGTATACTTGCTTGTAGTCAAGTCCAGCTGACTGTCATTATAAGGAAGCCAATTGTCTCTCTTAGTATACGTCTACTGGGATTCCCTGTGCAGTACCGGGTCTCACCACAGTCTAACCCTGCAGAAGTTAACCCTCTCCCACCTATTTCCTTCAGTTGACATACACAACCTTTCAGTACAGTTTATATGATGTGAAAGGTCTCCTATATTTCTCTACGTTACTAAGTGAGTAATTGAGACCATCAACTGATCAAACCGCAAGTACCCTCTCCGCAGTTGTGATCCAAGGCTTGCGCTGCAGAGACGTTACAGAGTGACTATAATAATCTAATTTAATTACTATGGGGTTATCGATCTGGGGCAGTCTTGTTTAGACCTTACTTGTTGTAAATACTAGGGTTGTCCTGATACTGATACTAGTATCGGTATCGGGGCCGATACAGGGCATTTTCACAAGTACTTGTACTCGTGAAAATGTCCCGATACTGAAGGCTGATACTGGCCCTTTAAAGTTTTAAGTCAGATCGGCTGCCTCAGGTCCCGCGCTTGTGGGGTCCTGAAGAAGCCCTCCGGGGACCTGGCAGTAGCTGTCTTTGACACTACCTGCCAGGTCCCACATGCCCTCCTCCTCCTTCCTGGCGTAGGCACTGCTCAAGGCAGCCCCACACAGCGAAAGCAGCCTCAGATCGTGCATGGGACCGGCACTCGCTCCGTTCTGCACTCACTCAGCACAGCACCTGTCGGAGCCATGGAGAGACCCAATATGCAGCCCTGCTGACATCTGTATGCAGTGCTGGAGAGACGCAATATGCAGCCCTGGTGACATCTGTATGCAGCGCCGCAGAGACCCAATAAGCAACCCTGGTGACATTTGGACGCAGCCTGGTGACATCTGGACGCAGCCTGGTGGGATATGTACTACAGAGGTCAGAAACGTATAGATACAGATTCTGTACACAGCTTGGTGAGATCAGTACGCAGCTTTGGTGAGATTTGTATGGAGCCTGGTGGGATCTGGAGACCAGATGTCACCAGGCTGCGTCCACATGTCACCAGGCTGCGTCCAGATTCTGAATGCAGCCTGGTGAGATCTGTATTTAGCTATTTTAGTTCTGGTGAGATCTTTATTCAGCTCTGGTGAGATCTGTATGCAGCCCTGGTGAGAAACTGCCCTAAAATCTCTATTGTTTTAGAAAAAATGTCACATGCCCCTTTAAGAAACAAATATTGTTAATTGATATCGGCAAGTACATGAGGGGAAGTACTTGTACTTGGTCTTGAAAAAGAGGTTTTGGGACATCCCTGGTAAATATCATATATGTTGTGAAATTGTGAACTGGAGGTCAAAATACCATAGGAATACATTGGACGCAGTTTTGATCCGGTCTGCACCTGCTCTGGTCCGGATCTGCTCCGCGCTTGGTGTGAACAAGGCCTAGTCTCCACATGATTTACAGGTTATAGGCAATTCAATGCACTATCAAGGACCAGGACAATCAAGGACCAGGACAATTTGGGTTATGCCTAGGAGGCAATTTTTTTTGCGTGCGGATCCAGACCAGATCCAGACCGGATGAAAAAACTGCGGCAAGCCCTATTTTACCTGCTCTGGATCTGGTCTGGAACGCATCAAAAACGCATCTAAAACGCATCAAAAACGCATGCAAGTGCCTGAAAGCCCATGTTAAACTTAAAAAAATATTTTTTTAATACCAAAACCGGCCCTAAATGCATCAAAAACGCATCCAAAACGCGTCTAAAACGCGGCACAACCCACTGCACTGCGTGTGCAGAAACCTGACCGGATCTGGTCTGCATTTGGTGTGAACAAGGCCTAAAGCTCACATTTGATCCCAGTATTATTCAATTTATATTAGTTTCTGTTAGCTGGTATAATTAATAATCAAACCACCTGTTTGCATCAGCATGTGTTATGACGATGTTTCCCCCTTTAGAATCTTAAATCTGTTGTATTTTCTCTGTCAGTATTATATACAGCACGTCAGTATATGTTTCTGTTCTGTTAAACCTGTGTATAATTTGCTTTGTTGTTGTGGTTATTATGTGCTATTTCATCCATCTGAGCAGCAGTTCTCTAGACTCTCATATTTCAGCCTCTGTCTGTTCCTGTGTTTGGGCTGAGCCCTTCTGTATCCTACATCCTTATCTGACCTGTACTGACGATTATTGGTTTTGGCTTTTACACTTACACTTCTCTGTTTGTATGTGTAATACTGTGGTTTTATGTTATGACTGCCTGTTCCTGTCTGCCTGCTGTGTACTGTTACTCGGTTTCTGTCTGTCTGCATGGTCCAGCTAGGCAATCCCAATGGTTGCATTGATGATGATGATTCCCAGCTTTATCTGTCTTTATTATCTGATGTACACAGGTGTGTTAGCTTATTCTTTGACTGCATAGAGAATCTTCATTTGTCAATGTTTTCTGCAAATAATCGAGGATAAAAAAGGTCTTGTTATTGGAAAGACAATAGAAAAAAATATATTGTTGTGTTTAGAATTCATGTTCCTGAAGCCAAAGGCTGTACGAGTTTTTAGACTCACATCAGTACGGCTGTAAAATGACTTCTAGGTAATCTACCTCCAAAATTTGTGGATTGATCTAGTGCAGGGGCAATTAATTAAAATTCAAGGAGGTCTGGTGAGTAAAACTGGAACGCATAGAAACGCATCAAAATGCATGGAATGCACCTGAGAGCCCATTTTAAGCAAAAAAAACAGCATTGTGGTAAAATTGAAAAAAAAAAAACACGCGATACAATCGCGACAAAAATGCGATGCACTGCATTCCAGATCTGGTCCTGGAAATGGTAGGAACCCAGCCTAAGTGTCTTTTTTCCATACCTGAAATTTAAGCCAGGATATAAGCGTTCATTAACAACCTTATCATCCAACCGTCGGAAACTGTACTGTGGACGGCAGCTGTGAAGCCAACGGTCGAGATTACAGTTCCAGTTGATTTCTATGCCCATAATGCCACCCTAGATAAAAGAAAGTTATCTATATGAAAAACAATTGAATAAAGTATACGCTTTTTACAATTATATCAGATATTACACATTGAGATACAATCTTAATCTCAACAGTCACTGCGACAGGAAGTAAATATAAAGTTCAGAGACAGCAATAAAACATGGCATAGGTTATCACCTCCCCCCCTCCAATACTAAACTATAAGACCATTTATGGTTAAAGTTGGCACATTTTTTTTAGTATATTAGTGTGTATTAAATAAAAAAAAAAACTAATATAAAGAGAGTTTACCTTGCTTATAATGAAACTCAAACAATTCAAGAGGCAGGACTTTTTTGGAAACTGTAAAATATACTGCTGTTTGTTTCTGTGAACATGCTGACTATGGATGTGTTTAAACAATGTGGGTCAGTAAACAGTGTAACAGGAACTTGTAGGGTTGCACTCTCTCTAGATACACAATGGCATTTTCAATAATAATATTAACTTCATCCAGGAACTTTACTCAGAAAAAAAAAGTGTTATGCATAGAAAGTGTTCTAACAATGGGATACCGAATATACCCCATCTTTTGGGAAATCACACCACACCCCAATAGATGTAGAAGTAGATGATGTATCATCTCATCTAGGATTATCAAATGTGGGCTCTAAATATATCTACACCCAAGAACAACAAAGTTAATATTATTTATTACATTCTAGCTTAACCCCTTGATGCCTAAATTAATTTTCAATTATATAAAAAAATATATGATATGTGTTTTGGCCATCAAGCAGATACGAAAGAAGGTGGAGATTGTTAATTTGAATATAGCACATACTATGGAGAAAAATATAGGTATGATGCAAATTAGCGACATTAGGCATTTAAGTAATAAAATAAAGTTATTGACCAGTACCTGCGGTAAAAAACTAAAATGACAAAAATGATCAAAAATCAAAAGCAGGTTTTTATCTTGTTGAGGCACAGGTGAACATTGCACTTCAAACATTTGTTTACACTCTGGCCCTTACAATATGGGTGCTTGCAGTGTTGCCGTCCACGTTCAACCACTGGCCCGTGACCCACAGTATCTGAACAGACTTCCACTGGTGGAACCTCGATTTATCAAAAAAATGCTGAAATATCAACTTTGCACGTATTACTTTTTATGTAATCAAGCAGATTACACATACATATAATATTGTGCAGCCATAAATGCCTAATGTAGCAAAAAAAGGGCAAAGCGAAATTTGCACATAACTTGACATTTTTCGCCACATGGAGTTGACCCCAATTTATAAGCCATAGCAGCAAACAATAAGCTGTTGCATATTTTTATTTTACAAAAATAACCTAAAATGTAGTCAAATTTTCTCAAAATTAGTGATCAGCAGCCATGTGCATGACTGCACTGAGGCTTTGCGTACTTCAAGCAGTTGTAGCTATGTATACTACTGTGACAGGGCGCGATCACTGCTCCAAAAACAATCTTTGGTACTTATTGAATACAAAAAAAAACAGCATTGGCGGAATAAACACACCACCTTGGCTGCAGTCAGGCTGGGAGGGGTATGTTGCAAAAACGCGAAGCTCGTCATCAAGGGGTTAACGGTCCTCAGATGTGGTGACTGCATCCATTGTCATTTTTCAGGCTAAGAACATTTTCGGCATGTACAAAAAAATACGTCTTGATCTTGCCAGAAATGTTGTGTCCTTGTCATATATCAAAGAATGTTATCTTCCTTTCAAGCTATTTTATGTAAGCTAAAAATTCCTCTACGCCCCGTGTAATGGAGATGATATGTGGAGGTTGTGTTTTTGGTCCAAATCAGTAGAGCAGCCTGCGTGACAACCATGGCTCCCTCCCAGCGGAGAGAGTGTAGCCATCCTAGGACAGAAAGTGTATTACTGGCAGGATTAACAGCTGAAAATAAAGGATGAAAAAAGCCTGAAAAATTAAAACTAAGAACACCACCTCATCTAAGGAATGTTAGGTTATACAGTATAATACATTTTTGTTTTTGGGTTTAGATACACTTTCATTTTGTAGGCTCATTTTTCACAGTGAGAAGTTTTAATCAAAGCACTAAAACTTACACCAAAAGGGGAAGTACTATTAACCTTACTTAATACTGAACTGAAAACAAAACATTTATTTTTATCAGACGCTTATAACCCATCAGCTTTTTTGTTTGCCTTCTGTGTCCCATTGAGGAGTTTTCCCTTCACTTTCCGACCAATCGCCAGGAAATTAAAGGAAATCTCTCCAATGTGAGAGGAATCCCTGGTGGTCAGCAGGACCACCAGAACTAATCTTTCCATTTATTCCTGTTCTGGTGGAAACCCATCATTCGCTATCACAAGTAGGGAGGGTGAACGTATCCAATCTATCCAAAGCTAAAAAAACAACAAGTTTTGGCATCAGTCCCACTTTAATATAATATTGATTGGCAAGCTGATGACTGTAGGCTGAGGTGCATATGTCATTAACTGACAGAAATGTTCTGCAACCGACAATGTATGCCATGGTACGCTCCATTTGCGTGCAGTAATAACCAGCTTACTTGCCCTTCTTACTGTAAAAGCCCACAGTAGTACCATTAAATAGTTATGAGACATAATTCTAAACCAAATTAACAATAATGAGTCTATTAGTCTTCCAAGGCCAAGATTTGTAAAGGTACAAATGAAACTGTCAGCAGTAAGTCTTCAGTTAAAGCAATACCTGACTGTACAGATTAGCTGCCTCCCAAACTCTGCATTGTAAGTAAGCAGATGTTTTATTCTTTCTCAGTTATGAAGGTGAGGCCATCACTTGCAGGTCAGGAACGCTTTGGAACTTCTTTTAACTAGTAAATCTATCAATTCCATCTCTGTCCTGATTGGCCCAGGAATCCTTTTCCCATTCAAAACAGTCCTGGATATAAGGGCAATTTTTTTCTTTTTTTTCTATTCAGCTAATATAAAAACATTAAAAAATGCAGGTGCCAATACAAGCTACAGTATACATACTAGAATGGCAACTTGGGAAAAATGATGTCCTGCTTCTTTTAGGATGTCCCCTAATCGGAATATAGGACATTGAGGAGCAGTCACTTTGTTATAAACGCAGGTGACATTGTATTCCGGAAGGATGTTTTTCCTAGAAAAGAAGTACAATGAAAAATCAGATTATGACAAACATTGAGGTATGTCATAGCAGTGACAACTATAAAGAGTGCCCGACAAAATGGGAAATTATTTATTTATTGTATCAGTGCAGAAGTACCATTGCTGGCTGTATCAGTGCAGAAGTACCAGTGCTCGCTGTATCAGTGCAGCAGTACCAGTGCAGAAGTACCAATGCAGAAGTACCAGTGCTCTCATTAACAGTGATACTGATCTTTGTGCCCTCTTCTCAACAGTCACTAAAACCATTATAGCTACTGCCAATGAGGGACCGAATGTGGTTGGAAGAATACCTTGTCCTCATTAACATGTGGCCTGGTATGGTTCAGAATGGGAGGAGGGGACGAACGCTTGCTGCCCCTTTCTTACCCAGCCAGGCCGCATGCTCAGTTAAAAATAGTGTATAGATTTTAGGGGGGCATCATGGTTTTTTCTTTGTATGGATCTGGTATTTGTGAAAAGAATTTGGGCCCATTCATAAATGTCTGTTATAGATAAACGAAATCCTGGCAATTTAAATGGTATTTTTTTTTTCTTTGTAAATGTCAGTCTTGCTGTGGTACATTGTATACATCATACAGGTCATACACCACTTCACGATCAGATACAGGGCATCCTCCAAGCAAGTTTCTTTTAAAGGAATTGTGCATTTTTAATGTTGCCCTTTAAGTATTATTAACCACTTGCAGTCCGGAGCAATTTCTTACATTTGCACACACATGATAAATTCTGAATGTTTGGCTAGAGAACAGCTTCAGACCCCAAACAGTTATATATTTTCTGAAAGCAGAGGCCCTGTAGAATAAAAAGATGCTAGTTGCAATTTTTTATGTCGCACGGGATTTTGCGCAAATGTTTATCAAACAAGTATTTTTAGGATAAAATACACTAAAATTAAATTTAGTGCACAGAAACCGAATATAATACCCAATTTTTGGGTAAAATATAAAAGATAGTGTCAAGCCCGGTAAATAGATACCAAACATGTCAAGCCTTAAAATTGTGCGCGTCCGTGAAACCGCAAAAAACTACAATAACCCAAATTTCCCATAGGCAACGCTTTAAACTCTCTCACTCCGACGCTCGTGACAATATGCAACATGTGTGGCGCAATTTTCGTTTTTGCACGTAGGTGCATCTGACGTGTGTTTGCGTTGTATGTGTGTGTACGTGGGGGGCCGGGGACTGAAATTTTTTTTTTTTGCATGTTTAATTTTTCTAATCTGTTAATTTGATTTTTACCCTTTTTATTTTTATACACTCAACTTTATTGCTATCACATAGGGGGTGAACAAGCCCCCTATGTACCCAGTGACACCGGGAGTGATATAATGCACATCACTTCCGGGTCCAGTGATCGGAGCAGATATCAGCGACTTGAAGCCTGCTGATATCCCTGCGATCCATCAGGGAAGACCTGCCCGGGGGAACAGCGGAGCCCTGGAAGCCGACGGCGGCACCAGCGGCGGTGGAGGGGGGGACACGGCGCCATACCGTACAGCGATCTGGCACCTGTACAGGCGCCCGATCGCTTGTATTTGAACAGCAATCGCCAGCTATTTATTACGGTACCAAGAACAGCCGTGCTGCAGCCGTGTTCTTGGTATAACCACTTCCAGTGGATGACGTACGTTTACGTGAACCCACTGGAAGGGGTTAAAAAAGCTGCTCCCTAACAAATGGTATTTTTTAAATAATTTTTTACATTGGTAACAGGGCAGTGCCCAGGCTTCCCATGCCCTTTGTTTGACAAGGCCTTGCGGATTAGCCTTGAAAGTAGGCAAAATTGATTTGGAATATTCAGCTCCCATTGACCTCAATGGGGTTCGGAAATAGCATTTAGAACTTAGGAGCAGTTTGGCGGACCTCCCCCAAATTGCATTCAGGAATGTTCAGCTCATCCTTACTCTTGATCGCTTCGAAAAACACTTTAAAAAACATTAAAAACAGAAAAGGAAGGATTTTTTAAGGTCCCATTCACACCTTTGCATTTTAAGTGCAGTACGTTGCAACAAGTTATGCTTGCTGCATCTTTGATGCGCTTTCATCAAAACACACATAACCACATATAAAGTTCAATGGAAATGCATGTAAAACTCATCTAAAACAGAATGCACCTAAATTGCACTAGTGTGTACCTGGCAAAAAAGTAACCGCATGTTTTTTTTCTTTTTGGGCAGCCTTCATGTTTCCCCTTTAATAGTAATATATTCAGTTGTCATGTGACAGAAATTTTTGTCTTGCGCAAAGAGTATCTGGAATAGAACTACTCTGGCTTAATCTGATTTTGTTTTTGTCTTCTAAATGAGCTGCCACAGGTGACAAATAACCAGATCACATATATAATGGGTAATTTGTTAGCCAAACGTGTTAAAGATCAAGCCAGGTTTTACTTACGTGGTATAATTAAAGGCTGCAAAGTGAATACTGTTCTTTATCAAAACTGTAAAATTCTCAGCACTTCCCAAAATGGCCAGCCTACAAATGATAGGTTAACACAAAACACTTGATAAGAAAAAAAGACTGAAATACTAACAAGAAATTCATGCTCAGACACTAAGGGGTGTATTTATAAAAAAAAGTCTACAGTGCCATTCATTTTGTGAAACTTACATTTACATTGCTCTTTGCGTATAGGGTGAAATCAAATGTTTTCTTGTACAGAATAAATGTAATTGTTGGACAATACTGCATTATTGGCCACTCAATAAAGCAAAGGCGCACAGGAAATAAGTATTTATTTCCTATATTACTTGGTTCCATTTAGTGTTCATAATCTGGTATTTTCCAACAATTGCATTCATTCTGAATAAGAAAACATTTGATTTTGCACATACATCTAACGCACAGAACGTAAGTGTCAGTTTTGCAAATGAATGTCTTTGTAAACATTGTATAGGTACACCTAAAAGAGAATACATTGCTTTGGTTTAGAAACCTGCAGCCATAGAAACAAATTTATAAAAGCAAAACTGCAATCACAACTTTTTTGTGTATTTTTAATTTAACATAAAATAATGAAAAAAACAACTGTATTTTGGGTTAATAAAGGAACAGATAACATGTTTTTGTATACAGTATATTTGCTTTTATTAACCAGTTCAGCTCACACACCTATATTATACCCCTTATGGCATAGAAAAATGTTCACTGATATAGTCCTTTTGATTTGACAATAACTTTGTCATTACTTAAGATGATACCAAAATTGGGAGGGTAATAGTCACGGACATAGGCACTAGAACATTACTGGAGGACCTGGATAAAATAGGGGAGTGGGCAACTATATGGCAGATGAGGTTTAATGTGGATAAATGTAAAGTATTGCACTTTGGGGTTAAAAATAGGCAAGCGGAATACACATTAATAGGAACTCCACTAGGGAAGTCAAAAATGGAAAAGGATCTGGGGGTCATTGTAGACCACAGATTGAATAATAGCTTGCAATGCCAGGCTGCGGTAAACAAAGCGAGCAGAGAACTGTCTTGTATTAAAAAGGGAATGTACTGTAGAGGCAAATCTATAATTTTGCCACTTTATAGATCACTGGTTCAACCTCATCTGGAGTATGCGGTCCAGTTTTGGTCACCAATACACAGAAAGGATGTCCTGGAGCTGGAAAGAGTCCAGGGAAGGGCAACTAAACTAATTAAGGGGCTGGAGGACCAAAGCTACGAGACAAGGTTACTAGACTTAAACATGTTCACGCTGGAGGTGCAGAGATTAAGGGGGGACATGATTTTGATGTACAAGATGTTCAATGGTGATAGCAACATCAGCAACCAACTTTTTACGGTAAACTCCATAACAAAGACTAGAGGCCACCACATAAAACTGGTGGAGAAAAGATTTATGCACAAGGGGCGTAGGGGCTTCTTTTCAGTTAGAGTGGTTAAGGTTTCAAACTCGCTGCCACAAGCAGTGGTATCAGCTGAGAGTATTGAATCATTCAAAATGCATTTGGACAATTTCCTCAGAGACTGCAACATACAGGGGTAAAAAAAAATAAGATTACACGGGGACTGGTACACATGCATACACATGCAGAATCATAAACATACACACAATAGGTTGAACTTGATGGACCTGTGTCTTTATTCAGCCTCAAATACTATGCAAAACAATGTTTTGCCCAGTGTTCATTTTAAACCAGTAGATAAAAAGTATACATTTTATGATATAATTTGTCCTGCCTAAACTGACAATAACATTACAATTCTGATACAAAGCATTGCACAGTTGTCTACAAAAAAAAGGGCTTTTTTCACATATTTGAATGCAGCATAAAAAGATTCAGATAACAAAAGGAACAATGTTTAATAAGGAGTTGCGCTAATATTGCGCAACATAAAAATTTTCAACTACCACCATTTTATTCTATAGGGTCTTGGCATTCAGAAAACATATAATGTTGGGGGGTTTTACGTCATTTTCAGGCCTAAAATGTGGAATATAACATGGGTGCAAAAATGGAAAAAAGGGCCTCAGTCATGAAGGGGTTAATGGTTAAAAATATAAATAAAAAAAAACAAATCAGCAGGAAAATCAGTAAGAGAGAAGAAATTAGTTCATGAGGGCCAATTAAAGTTAACGAAGGGTTAATAAAAGATCAAGTAGAAAAAAAATTACTTAAAATATGTTTATTTACTGGTAGGGTTGCTTTAACTAGCTTCATATTCAGATCAAAGGTGAGATGAATAAAACAGCAAATACAACATGACAATAATGTTGTTTCATTGCATTTCATACACTCTCCCTCTGCTCCGGCAGTAGTATGTCCCTCGGCGTCCTCACATCTAATAGGCCTGCATTAGACGTGATGACGTCACGGGTCCTGAGACTGCCAGAGCCCATGGGAGAAGAGGCTGTAGGGACAGGTCTAGCAGCCAGGCAAGTACAAGGAGCAAGTGAGTATATCTTTTTTAATCCAGCCTTTAGACCAAAATGAGCATTTAACCCTTGTAGTGTGGGCTACCTCCCCACTGCCAGGGTTAATTTTGGTAATAGCTGGAATTCCTCTTTAAAGGAGAACTATGGGGTTAAGGCTTTTCCCCATAGTTCTCCTTAGGGTAATGATTTCTCATTGTCACAGGTCGGCTAGAACTATGAGGTGAGTGAAAAGCACTCACCTCATAGTTCTCCTTTAAAGTTGTCCTAACCCATATGTGTATTTTATTATTTTATGCCCCTCTTAGTTCTTTCTAATAGAAAGAAATACTAAAACTAATAATAAACCTTCTTTAACCGTAGAAACCACAAAGATTTTGAGTTAAGTCCAACCCCATGGTATATGCATACTGAATGAAACTGCCCTTCAGCTGTAGAAAATGTCTTCTGAATACATTACTACATGGAAGGGATTGGCTAAGACAGCAAACCAAGGACAATAGCCTCAATTCATAACACTTTACCATGTGTGGAGTTTTCATTCCCATGTATTCTTACCTAATGTACCATTCACTTTTTTATCTGTAATCACTGCATATGTGTTGTATTATTGCCTTTGTTGTATTTTGTATTGTGCAGATTTTTACTCCTGAAAATGTTGCCATGTTATTACAATATGAACGGTATCAAATGGTGTCTTTTGAGGGGATAAAATAGCGAATCATGAGAGAAAACACCCATTTATGAGGAAGAGTGGCGTTCAATAGTTAATTCATTCAATAGTAAATGTTCATTTCATAAGTTAAAAAAATGCACATCATTGCAATATTTGATTTAGATAACTGAAAATGTTGATGTATATCATGAGATGAAATAACAAACACATGGAAAAAATTCATGTTCCTTTGTGAATTGATACTAACATGTATAACAATAGTGTTCATATGTGTTGCAATTTATTTGATGTATATCTCAGCTTCTTGATAGGATAAAGCAGGAAGAACAGTATAGTAGACACGTGCGCTGGCCAAAAATCCATTTAGTTTCGTTTTCATTCGGATTTTTCGTTATTATGTATTTCGGGATTCGAGTCCGAAAGTCCATTCATTTCGGCATTTGGATTCGGACGAAATCTCAGAATTTACGTTAGTGGAAGTATGTACAAATTTTCAGTTACGGCCAAAAATTAAATGATAACAAAATGTCGTAATACTTTTTTTTTTAAAGTTAATGCTTAACACAATAAAACTTAATTCGGGAAATAAATTTGTAATTTTCGTTATCGGAAATTCGTATTAGTTTTCATTCGTTATTTCTGTCATTCGTAATTTCGGATGCATCCGAATGTACAAATTTCCGAAAATTTGTCTGAATAACAAATCTTTCCGAAACGAATCGCACATGTCTACAGCATAGCAACATGAATGCTAATTGTGATACTAATTTTCCTGCAAACTGGACAGAGTAATATAGTATGCTAAGGTTCCAAAATGCTGTCAAGAATCTCTTGTGCTACTTAAAGTGTCAGCCGCCTGCAGTTTCAGTAACACCAGCAAGCAGCCAGTAAATGCATATATTATTGTAATCATTTTATATGAATATTTTTGGGTTGTGGAACGAATCATCTGAGTTTCCATTATTTCCTATGGGGAAATTCGCTTTGATATACAAGCGCTTTGGATTACAAGCATGCTTCCGGAACGAATTATGCTCTTAAACCAAGGTATCACTGTAATTGAAAGCATATCTGCAGCCAAAACTTGAACTTTTCATTTTTTTATGGTTAAAACTCAATCTGTGTCCCATTCGGGATATTTGCCTCCATGTGTAGATACAAAATGAAGTGAGCAGAAATATCTCCAGCAGGTTATTCACAAAAGGGTGAAGAGTTTGGAGAAGGCAGGAGAAGTGACCAATCTAGGACAACATATCTGATTGGGAAGAATTCTCCAATTCAGCTCACTTTCCAGTTCAGATATGTTGTCCCAGATTGTTCACTTCTCCTGTCTTCTCCAAACTCTTCACCCATTTGTGAATAACTCTGTAAATTGACAAAAATCCCCTCTAGACAGTTGTTCTGAACAGGTGTCCCTATTAGGAGATTTCCTTTACCTCTTACTCAGGTCTGACCTCTAAGGTTAATTACCCGGGTCTGACCTTTTGGATTTCCCATCACTTTCTCTCCCACTGACAATGGTCACCAGGACAAATAAAAAGGGTGATTCTCCCACCGTGGGGGAACATTTCATCTAATTACAACTGATAATGAGATCTGACAGCACAGTACAGACAAGGTTAATTACAGTAAACATAACTCCCCAGCCCCCTCCTCACCATTACATAGAAGGGGAAAGCTAGGCAGGATTTTTAAGCAAATAAAATGGTGAGCAGCATTTTTTTGGATGTTTTTTAAGTTATGCTATGTGAGTGGGAACATGTAACCTATATAATGTAGGTGTTACCCTAATTTGGCTGGAAAAGTGGAAGTACACTTTAAACTTATGACACTGGAGACTGACACTGCAGCCTAAATGTCGCAATGTTCATTCATAGGAAGACAGCCTTTATTTTTTTCAATGAAGCCCCCAGCCTGCATGTATCACTATGTCATAGCTAACATAGTGATCACATGATTGGAACCCATACTCATTGGTTCCTGATTGTCAGTGGGTATCCAAGCTGTGAGTAACAGGTGAGATTGAGAATGTTTATAAACATAACACAAGGAAAGGAAAATATGGATTTGTCCAATGTAATGTAATGTACACATGTAAGTACACCCCTATATGTACCACCATTTCAGATCCATGAAAATTAGAATCAGCTTTCCCCAATGAGCTGGCAGAATTCAAAGGGAATAGTAGGATTCCGCGATCAACGCTTGTAAAAGTATTGATGGAGGAATCTGTTTGAATGTTTTCATTCAGCCCACAGGTTGAATGAAAAAAATACAACACTGTTTATGGCCAGCTTTAGGCAACCAGCTTTTTCAGAAGTGGAGGTCAGCAATTACTTTAGATTTAAGGCTACCCTAATTTTGTTTGTCATCAGTGTTAGCATCTAGCCTGTCTGCAATTGCATTGTACCTGCAACTGCAGACAAGGACTGAAAACAATGAAGGTATCTGTTTGAAATGATTCAATCACTCTCATGCAGAGCACACCATGGATCCTGCATAGCCCACCTGAGACTCTCTATGGTGGGCTCTGCAGGGTCCCAGGTGGGCTGGCCTGGTCATCGGGATCCCTTTACCTCCTCCCAACTCTTCTTACCTGCTGCTGCTGGGGCCCGGCCTCCTCCACCCCCTCCCCTGTCACCTCTGCCATGCTGCCCCGGTACAGTTGATACCCATGTAAGAGGCCCCCCAGACCCCTCACATGGGTACCGGCCATACCCCCCTGATGCGGTGTTCTATCAAAGGTTGTGACTACGTTTGAATGTGTGACCGGTGACGTGGTTAGGATAAACCTTTAAACCTTTAATCCTGTGGCTTGATAAAGAAGTAACCCCTCGAAACGTGTAGCCATCATCCCGCCGAGAGCCCTTAACCTATGTATAGCCCTCGATCACATCGGATCACTTTTACACACGGGACCTCTGACACCCCTGAGACAGGAGCCCGACCGCAACTGGTGACATACGGCGCCCGGCGTCTCACAGCCGTTCGTGGCTCCTCCCTCCTTTTCTTCCGTTCCTGGCTGACGCGGCTCGGCCTGGCCAGTCGAGTACGTGGGCGGCCATACGGTTTCACACTCTGTCCGGACCCGCCACTTGCACCACTGGAGACAACCCTTTGAGCCAGGTTCCATTCCAGGGAACTGTCGCACAGAAACCAGGGGATCTCCTAACTGTGAGTCTGTTGTTTTGTAACATTGCTATAGACATCAGCACATCAAGGGTAGTAGCGCTCCTAATATCCTCTTGTCACCATATCGATCCACAGGGCTTCTCTCCCTGTTACAAGGAACTTGCACAACGATTATTTCAATCCACATTCCCTCCACCTAATGAACATCAACTGTTTGTATCCCCATTCATCCCTCTAATCCCTGTTGATACTTCCCAGCAGTGTGACCTTATAACAGTGGTGCGCCTGTATATTTGTTGTTTATCTACTGCCAGATTAAGTTTATAAACACACTTCCTGGTAGTTGCGCTTCTCAGTTTCTTGTTTTGATTTTGTGGTTATAATACACAGGGTCCTCTCCCTGTAGTGAGGAGCATTGCACACCATCCTATAGCAGTCATTATTTTGAAGTGTGTCCTTGTGTCCTTCCCACAGGAGTGCGCTTTATCTATTGTGTTTTCCATGTAAATAGACTACTTACTCTGGAGTACTTTTAGACTCCACCGGACACCATGCTCTCACTTCACAAGTATTAAAGGTGGTGTTATACTCTATACATCTGCCGGTTAGAATGCCTGCAAGATACAAGTGAAGAGATTTAAATGTAACACCTGCCACAGACAATGTATGTTGTTCCTTCTCAGCATGTAATTGCTGGGCAGATGGAAATCAGGGAAATCAGTTTGGCTCATAGTGGCTTCCCCTGGTATGTACTGTTTAAACTGTGTTGTTAATCAGCATTATGAAGTAGAAAGGATGGACACAAAACTATCGTGGTTGTCTCGTTCAGCGCTGTATAAAGAAAGGATTAAAAGTGTCAATGATTTCTACAGATTCTCATTTTAAAGCAATATTAAGATTTTAATGCATATTATGTTACTTCTTTAGGGATGTGTGAATCTGCCTGGATTTGGTTTGCAAATTTTGCTCAAAGTTTGCTTGCAAGCTTCATGGCAGCACACCAGTTTAATAGTTAGTACTTTTGTATTGCTGCACTGGGGTCCTTGGTTCTGCATAGAGTCTACATGTTCCTTCTGTATTTGTGTGGATTTCTTCCCACACTCCAAAGACATGCTAGAAGGTTAACTGGTTCCTGTCTAAACTGGCACTATTATGTATGTATGTAACATAGGAACCTTAAATTGTAAGCGTCTTGAGGGAGGAAACTGATGTGAAAATTTAGTATGTAAAGTCCCTTGTAAATCGTCAGTGCTATATAAATACCTGTAATCAGGCCTCAAAATTTCCACTCGCCCCCTCGCAAACGGCTCTGATTACACCCGTTATCGCTCCCTCTCTCTCCTTCTGGCCGCTCTGAAGCTGCAGCGACCGGGAGCAGAGAGAGGGAATGCTGACAGGTAAGATCGTAGCTGCCTCTCTGAGTGCCCGCTTCCTGGAGCTGAAGCTGGAGAGGTCGGGAGAAGAGGTGATCGTTCAGCGGTGTGATCAGAGCATTCTTAAAGAGGCCCCCCTCCCAGCCCACATCTTTTGGACGTTATTAATCTGAGTTGCCCCACTCAGTATACCCCTCGCTTGCGGCCATATTGAGTGGGGCACTCATATTAATAACGTGCTGGATTAGTCTGACCCAGGGGCTGACTAGGCCCGGGGGCAGGGTGGCAATTGCCCCCCAAACCTCTCTGATCACTTTGCAAACGCCCCCCACCACGGCAAGGACTTCATCTCTTCCCTCTTGGCCGCTGCAGCAGCAGAGGGACCGAGAGGGGAGAGATTAAATGCTTATGGCAGCGGTGGGGGGCTATTGCAAAGGTATCAGAGAGGCTTTGGGGGGCAATTGCCACCCTGCCCCCGGGCTCAGTCCGCCCCTGGGTCAGACTAATCCAGCACATTAGTAATCTTAGTGCCCCACTCAATATGACCGCAAGCAAGGGGTATACTGAGTGGGGCAACTCAGATTAATAACGTCCGAAAGATGTGGACTGGGAGGGGGGCCTCTTTAAGACTGCGGTGCCGGGGAAAAGAGAACAAGAAGATCCACTGCCATCGTCTATGCCCTCTTCGATTGGGCTCCTCGGTGCCACAGCAGTTTCCTCCGCCCACCTCAGCTGCCATTGGTGGGAGAGGAAGACTGCAGAACAGCAGTTGGCCGGCTTCTGCTGCGCGGGAGAGAGAGCACCTGGAGCCGGCTGGACGTGCAGGCAACCTCGCTGCTCCCCCACCATCACCAGGAGAAGAAGAGGTCAAGACAACTGTAAGTCCCTGTACTTTCTTTGTGACCTCTGCACTGCGTTACATACTGACCGGTGACCTCTGTACTGTGTACTGGCCTCTGTACTGTGCATCACACCCTGATCTTAGGTGGGGCAACTGGTGGCGAGTAACTTTTCAGGCCTGGCTAGTAGCTTAGGACTTGACATTTTGAGCCCTGTGTAATAATACATTTGCAGTGCACCCCCAATGAAGTCTATGGAGGGGGGGGGGGGGGGGGACTCTTGTTATTCACTTCTGGCCATTTGTAGGGCTAATACACAAACTATTATCAGGTATGGGAGGCTGGGAACTCCCATGGGGGACATGTATCAATGCCAAAACGAAAAATGAAGAAAAAAAAAGTGTCTCTTCCTACACAGAACTGTAAGCTCTCCCTAGCAGTTCCAACATGCTGACAGTATGGCTGCTGTGAGCACACCCTTTTATAGAAAGTGGTTTGAGTTATAATGACATATTCTTGTTTTAGTCCTGTACTATAATAACACTAACCCACTACGGCCCACTACTATAAATAGGCGTAACTAGAAACTTCAGGGCCCTGGTGCAAGAAACCATTAAGGCCCCCACCCCCTCCCCCCAAAAAAACATGATTTTGATACCTTTTTTTTGCAAGCACTATTTTTTCTGACCGGACTGGACCGCGGGCATTGATGTGCCTTGCGTTTTTGTGCGGTTGATCGCATTGCGGCTGGAGGGCGTGGCTTCGGTGCCCTTCACTTCAATGCATCGCCGTGCCCCCTCCCGCCACACAACAAATCGAGCCGGCCGGAATGCGATCCAGTGCTTTCCGGCCACAATCGGGCTGGAACACACTGAGGATGGCGTTAACTAGCCTTTAAAGCATTTTATTAATTTTTGGTTGGGAAAATGTTTTTAACCCTGCAAGACAATGACACAAAGCACACATACAATTAGTACCTACCTGGACCTGCTGCAGCTCTCCTCTAGAATGTCCTCACTCATGGCTCCCGATCTTTGTGCCTCCAGCTCCAGGCTGCCAGCTCCTGCACTCAGTCTCCACTCACTGACTACGCTGGGCATCCTACAGCGGGTATCCCATCAGCTCCCTCGCTGCGTTGCATGCTGGGAATTGGAGTTCCCTGATAGTCCACCGTCCAACGTCCGCAAGTGTCAAAAACACTGTGGACGGCGGGCAGCATCAGGCACCTGCGGGCATCGTTTCGGGGCCCCCCCCCCCCCCAAACTGGCGGAACACCAGGGCCCGGTCGCAAATGCGACCGCTGCGACCCTGGTAGTTCCGCCAGTGTCTTCAGTTCACTATTAGAACTCAACAGCTTCACTTCAGTGTACTTTAGCTCCACAACAGAGTATTACTATAACTAAATATCCCTGATTCAGAACACAACCACATACTTAACCACACCTCCCACACCTCTAGTGCACTACTATATAACTATTGGTTAAAAGGGCACATGCATACAACTCTAATCACATAATCTGTCCAATCATTGTCCCATGACTGTTCCTCAACTGTGGGTGTCTTCTGCTGCTTGCATACAGCTAAATCATTCAGTATTATTTTTCTTACTAACTGCATTTGCCTTAAGAAATACATTTCCATGCAACAGACTTAAGCATTCATGTTCAATGTGACCTAGTAAAGCTTCTCTGCCTGGTATCTTACAACTAAACATCTGAATTTCTAACAAGGCATGAATATAAAAAAAGAGAACATACCATTACTCTGTGGGTCAGCATAACCTTTTTTGCAGCTGTCAGCTTGAGAACATATTGTTTTGGGGCTTGGAAACTACAAAGTAGAAAAATGTGTACTTCAATGTAGAATCATTCTTTTATGTTACTTATAATCTGAATTAAACATATAGGTATTTCTCAACCTTTTGCAACTTAATTAGCAGGGTATTCCTTTCAAACTAAAGTGTATCAAGTAACATGAATTAACTTACACCATATTATTTGATGGGAAAAACCTGAATGTAAAGGCAATGTGTACATAAATAAAGTATTATCCGGGTACAGTAGGTACATACTGGGATTAGCTATTACTCCTTGGGATTCACATTGCTCCTGTGAAGTTATATAACAGTGCTAAATTATAAACTCATTTTGTTTCTTGATTTAATTATTTTTTTGGGGGGAGCAGGTGGGATCTTGCCTTCCTACTCCCCCCAAGAGATAACATCTAGGTAGACCAGTCATATTGGCTAATACCCACTAGGTTATAATAGCTAGAAGGCTGTCAACTATTCCATACTAATACCAACCCATTTATTTACCTTTTATCAACAAAACACTTGACTGAAGGGCATTGGGTTACTTTGGCAGAGTAGGTGTCAGAAATGGGGCATTAGTGCCCATGGAGAAGGTAGTTTAGATACTGTCTGCTAGACATGTGCACCAGCAAAAAAATAATTTTGTTTCAATTTGGATTTTGCGTAATTTCGTTTTTCGCGATTCGAGTCCTGAAATTGAACTTGTTTCGGTATTCGGATTCGGAAAAATTAGTTAGCGGTAGTCCGGTCGACATTTTTTTCCCGTTTTCGTTTTGTTCGTTGCAGCAAAGTGACATTGGGAATTTTTTTTTTGCAGAAGAGTGAAAAAAAAAAAACTTTGAGGTTCCCCCCAATTCATACCAGACCCTTTAGGTCTGGTAGCTAGCAAAGTGACATTGGGAATTTTTTTTTTGCAGAAGCGTGAAAAAAAAAAAAAGCTTGAGGTTCCCCCCAATTCATACCAGACCCTTTAGGTCTGGTAGCAGGGGTGTGGAAATTTAAAAAAAAAACTACTTGTCCAAGGGCTAAAGCGGGGGCCAAATCTACTTGTCCTTCATGACAATCTACTTGTCCCAATAAAAAAAAATAGTTTTAATCAAAACTAAGGATGCACCAATACAGGTTTTTTGGTATCGAGTACAAGTACCGTTTTTTTGCTTTCGGATCTCGCCGACACTGAATACTAATACCGGTGCTTCCGCTGGCATGGAGCAGGCTCGCTCCGCCCATTTGACATTCTCAGCTTTCCAATGCTACATCGCATTCGGGAACTCCCGAATGCTATTCGGGAACTCCCGAAAGCCTCACAGACCCGAATGGAATTCGGAAACTCACGAATAGCACTCTGGAGTTTCCGAATGCTGTGTAATATTTGACAGCTGAGAATGTCAATGGGCTCACTCCGCCCATCCGTTTACTTTCGAGCAGGAATGTAATTTTGCAGCAAGTTTTCGTTGGGTTTGGACGGTCGTCGTGCGGCGGGACTTTTTTTATTGCGGAAGGTGTCGTTCATTGTGATTGATGCTGGATTACATCGATGGAGCCATTTTTTAATTTAACTTTTTTTTTAATTAAAGGATTTTATCAAAAGTCTGGACTTGTTAATAACTCTTTTGATTGAACCCTTTAGTGAATGAGTAGGTTTACAGGTACCCCTTATTCACAGGGGGGGCGGCATCTTGGTGCCCCGTTAATTAAAGGGGTACCCCGATGCAAATAAGCCCCCTTGCCCGCAGACCCCCACAACCACCGGGTCAGGGTTGTGGGGAAGAGGCCCTTGTCCCCATCCGCATGGGGACACCCTCCCAATGCCGAGGGCACGTGGCCTGGTAAGACGCAGAGAGAGGGGGGGCGCTCGATCGTCCCCCCTTTCCTGCCCTGCCAGGCCAGTGCTCGGATCAAGGGTCTGGTAGGACTGTTAGGGGGAATCCACTTTTTTTCCCCATTTTTTGGTGCTGGGGTTCCCCCTTAAAATTCCTACCAGACCTAAAGGGTCTGGTATCAATTGGGGGGGGGGGGGG